AAGTAAGAATTCCCTGCTGACTTTATAGAAGATACTGCAGCACTGTGCAATTACTGCTGTGCTTTATTGCATTGTTTGATGTGTTCTTCAGGGGCCCTGTGTTCAGCTTCAGTAGGGTTAGAGCCAGAATAGTCTGCTAAGCTTAAAATACAGAAAATATTATTTTCAATCTTTTTTTTTTTTTTTTTTAAAGTGTAATATTAGTCCAAGTACAAACATTTCTCCATTTCAAAGAGAGAGCTGCTAAGAAGCTGCTGAGAAGGTCAATCAATGACCCGGCAAGAATTGCCCCTAAAACATAAGACAAATTCTTTATTTCAAGCACTCTTATTTTCATTCAAAAAAAAGTTTCACAAAGAATCAAATCACTTAAAATAGGTGTTAAATAACTACTCTAATTAGAACAAAGAAGTATCCTTAGTATCCTTTTGTTCAAAAGGTTCATCTTGTAATTCCCATTACTTGGAACACGGTGAAATTAAAAAATAAAGCCTACAACTGACTAGGAAGTGTGTATTTTAAAGTTTTTCTCCAGAAGAGAAAGAAACATTCATGCATTATGTTTGAAAACTTTCAAAAGTAACCTAGCAGCCCTTTGCATACTTGTCACAGTCGGAAACACACTTTCAGACCACCAATGGCTGTGCATCTCTGCTGGTGAATAGTTGTATTTGTGTACATTTTTAAACGAAAAAAACAAATAAACAAAAAACAATGATGTAGTTAAGAAGAGTAGTTATCAATTAACACCATAAAGTCTGAGTATAGGAATTCTTTTAACTGAGATGGACATATAAATTGTTTCTTAGAAACGCATGTAGCAGAGTGTAATGTCAAGCCAATCATGATTTGCAGCATGCTCCTTGTAAGTGCAAGGAAACACCTGCTCAGAGCCTGAGCTGTTGATTCAGTAAAGCATTCATTTGCCACTGATGAGTTAGAGGTGTTAACATGAGTCAATAAAAGAGATATTAAACAAGAAGCTGTACAGAGCTGAGGAAAACAGCATCCATGAGGTGGACTGCGCTGTGAAGCTTCTGAAAAGCCATATGCATTTGCTGTTTTGTTACTTGCATGGGCACCCTGCACCCTGGTGACCACAGCTGGCTAGATGTACACCTCCATATCTTCAGGGTCTTAGGGAAGGAGGACAGCAAAGAACAGGCTTGTAGGATGAGGAACATGCTCTGCTTCTTACTCTCTACTAAGTCTAAGGGGCCTTTACAACTGCTGGCCACCTGTGTTTTCAGGATAAAGTACTTTACTGCAAGGCAGCAACTAAACTAACCTCTTTACAGTGACAGTTCATTTTATCTTGTGTCTGATTTAATTCAGATAGAATCAACACTTTTGTATCTCAGGGATTTGTAGTGTCACTCTACCTCGTGTCATGGAAACATGGAAGGATCTCAGCTTTGATTAAGGATGAGACCTAGGGTAAGACCATTAAGAATCAGACCTAGCTCTATTCAGTCAGTAACGAGGATCCAGTTTTTAAGATCCAGTGCTTTTAGAGACATAATTGTAAAAACACATAAATACCTAGTTCTAGAAAAGTGGGGGGAAAGAATGGAGAGAAAACACTAGCAAATCCAGGAATATTTTTAATGTCAATGTTCAATGTAAAGTAAGGGTTTGAAGGGATAATTTCACTGACCCACACTGGCAGATATTGTGCTAACTCTCTGGATCTTTGCTTTGAGTGAAATAATACTGTTACTGTAACTGTTAATACTGTTAGCCCTCTGTCTGTTTCTCAGTAAACTGGACTTAAGAGTTCGGTTTTGAGTGCATGCAACATGCTACCATTTTTCTGGGAATCTCAGGTGTCACAGCAAAGCCACAACACAGACTATAGAGAAGACAAGCATTTCAGTGTAGTGCCCAGGGCTCTTGGACTGCATCTTTCTCCCAGATTCAGGTTGGTAAATCTTTGCTGCTGTCAGACAAAAAACAGTCTCATCTTACTAAAATGTTGTGGCTATATATGCTGCTGTTTTTACTCTGAAACTATTCATATAATTTACACATGCGTCCTTCTGTTGTAAAATATGTTCCTTTAGGCATTTTCTAGGATGCTTCTAAACGTTTAGCACTCCTAAGCATTTATATGTGACCTATTTACTATTCCAACTCAGTATCTCAAATTTTGGGGTACCTTTTTCTCATACTACTATATGAGGAAGCTTAAAGAAAAAAATGTGTGTCAGATTGGGATCTGGATGATTGGATTGTAGAGGACTTCCTTACCTGAAACTGAGACTCAAGTCGCTTCACTTAATTTACTGCTGCCAACAACTTCAGAAGGAGCCTTTGTCATTTGTCAGTACTGCCTACTTAGTGCCAAAGGAAACATCCTTCTGATTTGGACAGGCTCTTACATGCCTCCTGCCAGGCATTCATGATGAGCAAACATTTTCAGAACTGGAGAAAATAAACTGCAGATTGTTCAGCTTGTATGGGCTCTTTTTGAGTGGATGAATTGCTCATTCTAAGCAGCAGCTGTGCCTGTGGTCATGCATGTTAACTTTTCTGATTTGATCTGGGGTGTGAAGTCCACGAAAAGATCCCAGATGTGTGTTACTGCCAGAATCACCGGAGCTGCTGGCCGTGTGTCTGAACTCTTCTTTTTTCTTGGCTCAAATCTCACTCTCTGAGGCATTTCTCACCACAAGACTTATCTTGAAGTTCAGTGGTGGGTGTCGCTGTACGGCAGTCGACATCACTTTGTGGACAGTTTTACATTTGAAAGCATTTCTTTGAAGATGTTTGCCTTCAAAAGGAAATGACCAGGGGCGTTTGCTGGCTGAAGACCTGTCCTTTGACCAAGTAACTCCAGCTTGGTATGGGAGACTGAGGCATGATACTGTTGTATCCTGGGAAGACGGAGAAGCAAGCTGGTGCCTCCCTGCTCCCTCTTATATGCTTGCTTGAATTTGCAAGGCCTGGAAGATGGGAACAAAGGAGTTCGTGCTGTCATTCCAAAAATGCTGACTTGACCGGTTCGGACTTATAAATAAGTTTGTACTGTCAATGTAGTGATCAACTGAACAACACAACCTCCAACAACCCTTCACTTCTGAAGATAAACATCTGAACTGCGGCGAATGGCAGGAACCTAGATCATCTCTCTCTTGCTTTCTACAAAGACTTCTTGCTTTTATTTCCTCTCCCTTTTTTTATCACCCATCTTCCCTTCCCCATCTCCCTAAGCAACTAGAATTGGTACTAAAATTGGACTAATATTTGACCTGTTGTGTCTTAATCTGGCCATCTGGTACACATATATTAATGAACCTTCTCTCCCTCCTGTAATTGGAACGAGGCGGTATGACGTTGTGCTGTGTGGGTAATCCAGGGGTGAGAAGTCATGCTGACCCACAGGCATCCTGGGCCCAAGAAGGAACTCCTCAGCATATGCAGCCACAGCATTTTATTAGATCCCAGCAAAGATATAAGCACCACTCTTATCTCCCATTAGGTATTAGGGGAATGGAGCATTTTGTTCCTCTTTAGTTTTTGTTTTCTGCTGCTTATCTGATGCTCTTAACGTATTGAACGTTGATTTTTGTGTCTTTTATTTTGCTCCCTATCAGAGCTGCTAAAAGCAGGTAAATGTCAACAACTTTCAATAGATCCTGAGGGCTCTTGCTCTATACTCTTTTACACCACTGCCACACCACTGCAGCTTCTGGCATCATTCCTGGCTTGCACGTGTTCAGGGAGAATCAAATGCTGCCTGCCCTGTACTTCAGAGCATCACTAATAGCTGGTTTTGATGTTGCTGAGAAGAATAAAATACTGAGAAGCACTCCCCATTTTTCAGATGTTAAAAAAAAGAGATCTTTTTGTAAGCAAGTGACTTCGTCATTAAGAATTTGAAGGTAATTTTATACTACTTTGAATGATTAAAATAGTATCATATAATTTCCAATTTAATGTTACAAAAAAAAAAAAGAACAAAACAAAACCCCAACAACCCTACAACAAAACCTAGAAATGTTTGATGGAATGTCTCCACTAAAAAGGAAGAAAAATTTTCTATTTCATGTTATTTATTTTACCAATTTGGAAAATGCCGGTGACTGAACTTGCTGAGTCTCATAACCCCCAAGATGAAGAGTGGAGTAGAAGAGAAATGTTTGTTTTCATCAGTGTAGAATTTATCTTGTGTTTGTCAGTATGTCTGCAACCATGGTAGTTTCTTCATAAGAGTATTGATTGATTGCCTTAGCAACATAAAAAGCATGCATGGTTTCTTACAAGCGTTTTTCTTGCTTGCTTAAGTGATCAAGTTCAGGAAGAACGGCAGTTGTCTTTCCTGAATGAAATACTGCCCAGGTCTGTCTTTTTTGTGAGAAATGATCAATTTACTCCAAGAGAGCGTAGGTCATGCCTGGATTGTTAAACCTAGCAATTTGAGAAGGGAAGAGCTAATCCTCTCATAGCTTAATCAGAGAGAGTCTGTGCAGAACTATACTCGTCTGTCAGGTATGTCTGAAGCAAGCTGAAGCCAAACCTTATGCACTGCTGTGGCTCGGGTTTGTTTAACTTTTGTGTTGCTTTTTTGTACTAAGCAGCTTGTTACTCTGCTTTGGTGCGCTCATCTTACCTGCAGAAAACTGTAAGTACAACTGGTGACCAGAGTGTGCCAAAAAGTGTGTGACCAGAGTGGCCATCCTAAGTAGTGTTGACAAGAACAGAGACTTAATAAAAATAGAAATGTTAGGAGTTTACTTGGATGTCTTTCCCTATTGTCTACTTCTACATGATTTGTTTTTGATCATTTTGCTAGATGCTGATCTTTTTTACTGTTACACCATCTGTCTTGTGATGAAGGAAGACTCTTCCACACAGTATACTTGAATTATATATGTCACCTCATTGTTATCTCGCAAGAGACTAGAATTGCTGTTCATACTTAGTTTCCTATGATAAACTTACCTGTGCTTAACAAAATAATCAATTACTTACCTATTTTTCCCCCTGCTTTTAACCAGATAGACAAGAAAATTGTTCGCACAGAAATTGGAGTTCTTCTTCGCCTCTCACATCCCAACATTGTAAGTTCAGTCACATTTCACTCCATGTCTTAAAATAATAATAATAATAATTTTTCTGAGCTCCACATTAACTAGGGTTATTCATTTATGTTGACTTGCAGGAATCTTAGTTAGAACTTTGGTTTCTCCTCATGTCTTCATTAACAATTCATTATGAAAGACCATTGAATTATACTTTACATTGTTGTTCTCATGGAATTGAGTGAGAAACTGTGCAAAAGGAGTTCTGTAGTTCTGTAAAGGATAAGAGGAATTTGGCTTTGTCCATCTTCAGTGGGAATTCAGCAACTATAGAGTGACAGAGGGATGTTAAGAACACTAAAGAAAGCAGATTCTAAAACTGCTGTTTTCCACAGAGATTATGGAAGTGTGAGGACTACAATAAAAAGAAAAGGAATGCAAAAGGGATAAAAATAGTCAATAGATAAATAAATAAATAAATAAAAGGAAAAAAAAATCCAAAGCAAATCAAAAACCAACAAGGTTGGGAGAATGTTTACAGTAATCTGCTTGACTGCAAGGTAAATGAGACACCAACTTTAGCTGGTATCCTCTACATTACTAGCTGTGGTCTGTGTCTTGCTGCTGGCACTGTGATATGCTCTACAAGAAGAAAAACATGAAGAATGAATCCTATGATTCTATTATTTTTGTTGTCTTTTACCAGATAAAACTGAAGGAGATATTTGAGACCCCTACAGATATCAGCCTTGTTCTGGAATTGGTCACAGGTGGAGAACTATTTGACAGGTAAGCTGTCTTTACATACCACATTGTGTATTTCCACCTGGTATGATATGGTCCTGTTTTTAGCTATACACGTAATCTTTGCCTGAGTAATTACTGTAGTTATTTCATCAAAATACAATTTCTTCACGTGAGACTTAATCTGCAGGAACTAGTTTAAAAAATGTGTTTGGAAATGTAAGTATTGGGAAGGTTGTGTTTTTTTTAAGGATTACATGAGTTGAGAATGGAAGAAATTGACAGTGAATTATGGAGAGCCTATATGGTACAAGGAGGGTGTTTAGCATGTATGTGGTGTCAGTGTGTGCCCCCAGGTGTGCTGGGGCAGGCAGAAGGCATCTCATAATGAAAAATGGTAGCTCATAACCAGTTGGCCAGGAGGGCTGTGCTATGTCAGATAATAAGTTTATAAGTGGAGAAACAGGAAAGAAATACTATTTGAAATTTGTAGGATTTATAAAACCAGTCATCATGTTAAAACATTTCTGCAAGATATCTGTTGAGTTCTTGTCTTAATTTCAACTAAGACAGAATTGTTTTTCTTCAGAATGTCTGGGGCCATTGCAAAAACAGGAGGAGGAGAAAGAGACAGAAACCATATTACTCCTAATGTTTAGTGAGGTGCAAGTTTTGTGAAAAGATTATGGCTGTCATCTAGACATGCACTCTGTCACCCCTGCTGAGTCGGTGTAAGCAGTAGCCTGGACTTAGCAGGCAGTGAAGCCAAGCAGGTTCAGATCTCCTTCTTGTGAAAGTGGCATTGACAAAGCAACTCGAAAAGGGTTACAGCCTTTCATCCTGTGGCAGTGCCTCATGTCTGAGGAAAGACGCCCTGATGGAAAGACATCCCTTCAAGGAAGACCTCGCATGTAATCCAGGGAAATGAACCACCATGGAGAAAAGTACCAGTGCTTAAGGGAGCTAGATGCAGTAATGATGATATGTGGAATTAACTTGAACAATAATACAAACTCCCAAGATCCAGATGACACTGTTATGTGGCGTGACCTGTGTGGTGGAGAGCGGTACAGAGTGCACCATTTTGTTGTGCCAGCACCCTGACAGGAATAAACTGGAAGGATAAAAAAGACCAACAGTGGATAAAATGACTAGCCTACTTTGACAATGTGAAGATAGTCTCTCTTCCTCCCTGCAGGCCTGTAAAGAAACTGGTTCAGACAGTCAAAGAAAAAGAAACTGGTTCAATGGCTCCTACATCTGTTCAAATGAGAATGCTATCGTTTAGAAGTAAATGTTCCTCTTCTTGATAGAGAGGATATAGTGAGTGCCATCCTGTGGTTTTACCTGCATGACCATGGAGAGGAAATGAGGAAATGGGGTGAAAAACCCATCTCAGCCCTACAGGCATAGATACATGAGCTGCAAGGCCAAACTACCACAAGAGAGAGTTCTTCCAGGAAAAAGGCAGTTCTGATTTACAGAGGGTAGTTCTTCAGACAGGTTAAATGAACCAATCTGTGTGGATTTGATGGCCTTGCACATCAGAACCAGAGAAATAAGAGGCTCTAGTGGACATGCTGCACAGTGTACTCCAGTGCTATCAAGTTATAAAGGGGAAAAACCCATCTGCATTTCTTCAGTGCCAGGGGGATCCCAAGAGTTAACTGTATTGGAGGTCAAAGGAAGTGTAACTGAAATGAATGGCAAATGTACCCCATTTTAACTGGCCAAGAGACTCTCAGGAGATCTCAGGAGAGGGTACTTCAAGGACCCAAAAAGGTATCGATGGGCTTTCAGTATAGCAGTCTTTGAGATGGAGGACGTTAAGTTGCTATCTATCTTGCCTGGTCTCTCAGAGGACCCTTCTGTTTTGGGACTGCTACGAGAAGATGAACAGCAGATGCAGATCTCCACTACAGTGGTGCACCAATCAGGACTCCCTGGTTCCCATTCATCAGTTAATTCATCAACTGGACAACCATGGAGTAATCAACAAGACTCTCTCACCCTTCAGTAGTCCTATAGGGCCAATGCAAAAGTCCAGTGGAGAGTGAAGGCTAACAGTGAACTATCATGGCCTGAATGAAGTCACACCACTGCTAAGCACTGCTGTGCCAGACATATTAGAAATTCAATATGAACTAGTGTCAATGTGAACTAGCCAAGTGGTATGCCACAACGGTCATAACTAATACTTTTTTCTCAATCCTTCTGGGAGCAGAATGCGGGCAGAGATTGCTTTTACTTGGAGAGGTGTAGAAATAGCATAACTGTTCAAATGTATGCTAGAGTGATCATGCCAAGATTCACCCCTCCTTTCTCCGTCTGCAAGAATGGTCCCTCTTAAAAATATCTTGTTTGCACTCTACTTGTGGATAGAAAATTGCAGGACATGAAGCACAGTGACAGGAGAAGGTTGTTTTTCATCTCTTTCTCATAATTTTCTTCTTACATCAACTTCTTAGGAAGAGTATCACAGAGTTTAGACAATGGACAATGAGGAGTTTGTGTTATGCAAAGAAATAATTTGGTTTTACTAGGTTTTTGAATGGCATCATATTATGCATACAAAATAAAGCAATAAACTCTATGTGGTTACTTTTAGAAGGCAGATTTATAATCAGAAAGCTTTTTTTGATATGAAAGAAGAGTAAAGGAAGAATTGATGGAATCAACATTCTGAGTACTTTTAGATAGATGGGACTGAATTTGAGCTCAAATAAATTAAATAAAACATTTTAATATGAGTCAAGGATCTCAGTAGAACAAAGATTAAATTCAACGACCATCAGGGAACGTAGAATGACTTTACCGTAAAAACTGATGTAGGTTTTCTGTTCAAAATTAGCTTTGACTTACTTATATAAGCAAATTGTTAATCAGGATAATTTTTTAAAACACTTCTACTACTATAAGTAAACTTCAGATTGTTTCAAGATTTGATTACATATGTAATCACTCTTCTCTCTTTATTATGTTAAACCCTTTAATTATTATTTCTTCAATTTTCATTACAGTTCTTTCCTTTTGGAATAATGATAATTATTCCTAAGGTTAATTCAGTTATATTTTTCTCTTGCTTCTTTACCCTCTGTCCCTTCAGCATTCTTTGGTTAAATGCAATGTAATTGCTTTATACTTTCAAGATTGACTTTTTCTTCTATTCCATGCTGCCTTTTATCAGATTTTCAGTCCCTCTGTTGATCTGGTTTTGCTTCTGTCAGTTAACCTCTTAAGTGTGACAGTCTTGCAGTACAATGAAGTCTGTTATCTGTCTTTCATGAGCTGTCTCTTTTTGAAGTTGATATTTTCCATTCAAATTTTACTGATATTTATTGATTTTCAGCAGAATCACTTTTCCAAATATTAATTTCAGAAAAAAATATCTATTCTAAATTTAAACCAAAGACTGATCTCATTTTCCTCAGAATATATGAAGATTGACAACAATAGCTTTCATTAGCTTCTTTCTTTTTTCAGTTTGATATGATTATGACAGTCCTTATGTTCTCCTTGTCTGTACTTTGTCATCTTGACTGCAGGATCTCTTATTTCTTCCTTCATTTTATTAAGTACACCAACCACTGTCTAAAAATACTGTTTATGGATGAAGGTCTCTCAACTTGCTTTCATTTCATATTTAATATTATTTCCTCTGAAATTTCAATTCCAGCTGATACTGTCTTGTATGGAGTGTAAGTTAACAAAATATGATATATATATATATTTTTTTTTCCTGAAGAACTTGTCTTTTTTTAATAGGTGCTGCAATTATTACCTCTTGTGAACAAAATTTCTTGAAGCTTCTTGTTTCTGCACAGGGAAATAGGAATTGCCAAAGACTTCATCTGCCACAAAAACGTGTGTCTTTTATAAATCTGTGTCAGAGTAGCATCTTTCATTTGTTTCTGATGTCTGGTCTCTTTAATTGGTATTAATTTGTCTTTTGAATATGAATCAGAGCCATGCACTGGACGCTGTTTCACATGAACGAGATAGTATTCCCTCCTCAAGGGTAGCAAAATAAAATGAAGAAGAAATCTTTCTGTCTTGACGTACCCAAATGCACCCTATTCAATGAAAAGCAGAATGAAAAACACACAAATTGGCTGTGGTGAAAGTGCTTATTGATGTAATAATAGCTCATTTAAAGTCTCTTGATTTCTGCCGCAGCAGTAATTAAAATAACAGTTTACAGAATAGAGAGGTGTGTGTTATTGCTCATTTGTAGGCTTTCTAATATAATTTACTGTTTCCTTCCCGTTCAAAGTTGCAATAATGCCTTTATACCTGACACTGTCAGAATTACTTTTTAAGTTCGTCAGACTCTAGCAGACTACAATATTCTCTTCAAGACAAGAAAAAAAAGTAATTTTTTGAAATGGTTGTAATATAAAATACAACTTAGAATGTGGTCACTGCATGTACTTAGAATTAGGTGAAACACCTAAAACATCAGAGGATATTCAGTTACAGCTTTAGGTATGAATAAACAATTCACACTAGGGTGATGGTGCAATTATAATACTGATTGGCTTCATGCCACTTTGTAAATGTGAACTGATACAACATTAGAGCACGCCTGGCTCTTAACTTCACTGTGGAAGCCTCTTCAGCTAAGGTATTTTCATTTAAAATATCCTCTTGTCTTTTACTATTCTTACTCAAGATAACTTTGCTGGAATTGTTGCCATAAATTTTCCTTCTGTCTCACTGACACACTTGGAGAAGGGGACAGTCCTTATGGAGGAAGGGCAGACTGGTATCTGCAAAGCTCTTGAGTTTGTTAAGTAGTGTCATTATAGACTCCTTGTGATTTCAGCATCACTGGCAAATATGTTCTCTTTCTGCCATGGCCTCATCGCTGAAATATAGACACAACCTGCATGCTGGGGAAATGAGGAGAGATACCACTTAATTTAAATATGAACATTCCCTCAGTTACTACCAAATCTAGCATTTAAGTTCATTTGAAATGCAGAGGTTTTGACAGTTCCGTGCAGGTGACCAGACATGTATGTATATTTGTGGCCTCTGTACCT